AGTATGTGTATTTGATGCTCTTATGTATTATGTGAAAGTATGTGGTTTTGGTATAAGTAGGATGCTATTATGTATGTAAGTAGGATGCTTTTATGTTTTTTTTCAATGTTTAGCAATTTGATTTTGATTTTAGGTCATTTGTTTTTAATATAATAATAAATTATTCTATGAAGCAACTAATAAGTTATATTAACAAAAAGTTTATTTAACGAGTATATATAAAATAAACCAATAATTTATAACTTTTGAAAATATATTTTGATTATCAAAGTCTAAATTCTATTATACTTATGTAAGAATAATTGTTTGAAAATTTGTATTTTTTTTTTGTTAAATTCTATTATACTTATGTAAGGAAAATTGTTTGAAAATCTTAAAAACTTAAAAAGAAAGGACAATATATTCATTGGGCTAAATTGATTAAACGATTTTAACTAACTCCAATTATTTTTAAAATGATTTTTAATAATGAAATGATTAACAACAACCATTTAAGATGTGTGTATTTATATTGAATCCGAAGAGGTAAATGTGATTTCGAATATACCAAATTGTATAAATAATAACTCTACTTTTATGCTATATATATTTAATATATATATTTTAATCTAGACGGTAAAAAAGAAACAAAATGTAATTGTAAGAATTTACTAAAAGAATAAAAAATAATCATGTGACTTAATACATAAGTTATCATTAATTCTTATACAACACGAATAAATAAAATGCATGTCTTCGTAAACATAAAGTAAACCACTATAATAGAAAACAACATAATATAATTGTTTAAAATACAATGCTATAATAGAAAAAAAAACAAAAAAAAATGTTATAAATAATAAAAATATAAAAAGGTACAATAGTAAGATGCTATAAAAGTACAATGTTACAAATGAAGTAGGATATTAATTTGTATTAAAAAAAACAATGTGAATTGTAAAAAAACAATGCTAATTCCGTAGACTAAACTTTAAATCTGAAAGTATATTTCAGCAACATCATGTCTATTGATAAAAGCTGGACTAGTAATCCACATCGAAACTATCCCGAGTTCAAAGTAGGACTCAAAGCTTTTATCGAGAAGTCCAAGTCGCACATTGATAGTAATGGTAAAATCATATGTGCGTGACAAAAATATGATAACTGTTACTTCAAGTACCCGACAACAGTGGAACGTCATATATTTATAAATGCGTGTCAAAAATGTGATAATCGGCGACTTTTTTACTCTTTAACGGCGATTTTTGTTGCCGCTAATTACTTTTTTTCTTGTAGTGATATACACTAAAAGTATTAAGTGAAATTTATTTTTTATGTTATGAGTTTAAGAATTTAAATTTTGTAAAAGTCACTAAAATTTCAAAATACAAGCACACAAATATATTCTCAAATCATATAATACATGATTCTTTACATCATATCGAACATAAGAAAACATATTACAAAATACAAAAATCTATAGTTTTAAGCTTTCAAAATCTAGGTGCATTGGAAGCCAGATGGGGCCTTCTTTTCACAGTAGTTAAGCAAAACACTCAATGAGACAGGAACGTTGAGGTTGATTCCCAAGACATTAGCTTTAATGGCAGTGCAAAGACACACTGCAGCGTCAAGATCTGTGAGACCAGCAATAAGGGAACAACATGGTGTCTCTGATGGATTTCCTATTACTATGGGGAGAAGATTGTTGAGCAAGTTAGCACACACACCCAATTTGAGAGTGTCTGTCGGGCAAGTAGCTTTGGGAGGGGTTGAAGGTGTTGAAGATTTTGTAGGTGTTGGAGGTGTTGAAGGTTTTGTAGGTGTTGGAGGTTTTGGTGGAGGTGGGCAGCCTTTTGCGGTATTAGTGGAGGATGCCAGAGTGAAGAAAACAAGGTTGAACGTAAGGAGAAAAGCTATGATTACCAAAACTGTTGAAGCCATTTTTAATGCTTTAGCTTCTTATCGATAGAATTGAAAGTGTTGTAGTTTGTTTTGTGTAAAGATATGCAAGGTACTTACGGTATTTATAGATGGAAATGCCAATCGCTTTCTACTAGCTTCATCACTGTTTGATAAATAGTTTAATATGTTTATTCCATTTGCTTCCTCTAAAATTATAAGACTATTTGAACGAAAATGAGATGATTTTCATCATAAATGCTCATAAAACCCATCAATAAAATTTCATTCGGATGTTAAGAAGAAATGTAGGCATTATTAGTAGTTGGTACAATAACATAATTGCGTGTTCATTTCTGTTGCTTAAAAACGAAATTCACAGTATATTATATGTTCAATCTAATTAAAGCAAAAGATTTAATGCATGCATCCGTGTTTTGTAAACTAGTTTTTGTGAAACATTGTAACGACAGAGTCAACTTTACGATTTATAATTATTTTGTATAACATTTTGCATGTAAGCCTAATTTGGGATTTTATATAAATATTTATTTGACGAATATCATTTTTTCGTTTACCTTTAATATGTCACTGACCTCTTTCTAATTCTCCTCTAGTTTAAAAAAAGTAGACTGATTAGATATTTCGCTTTTTTAATCCATCTCGTCGCCAATACTTATTTCATGAAAAACCTTACTAAAATATACTTTTCTGTAATAACACAATTTTATTAATATACTTATTTCATGAAAAACCTTACTAAAATATACTTTTCTGTTATAATACAATTTTATTAAGAAGCAGTAGCAAGATGCTAGGCGTGGATAGAAGAAAACACGACATTAGAAATAAACATATAGTGGAATTGATACAAACTTAATACACTATTTAACTGTATATATAACCATTCTTTAAAGCGTTTATAAATAAAATGAGGGATACGGATATGGGTGTTCGTTTTGATGGATCGGTTTGATCCGATTCAATCAAGTGAATCCAAATCAATTTCGGTTTTCAAGACATAAATCCAAATAGTCTAAACCAAATTCAAATCTGATCCGATCCAATCAAATTACAATTCGATTGGATCAGTTTTAAAAAAATCGGAATATATTTAAAACCCCATATAATTAGAAGACAAATAGATTTAGGAATATTTGGTTATTTGTTTGGGCTGTGTTAGGAAGACCTACAAAACAAAATTATTTTCAAACAAGATTACAAGAAAAATAGATTTCCATGCAAGTGGGCACGTGGTGAAGATGAACGATGCATGGAGCAATTAAGGATTACTATAGACCACAATTTATCCGTAGAAATATTAGACGATTAATCAAAAGCCAAAAAAAAAAATTGTTATTAATTTCTGAAATCACTAATTATATTTTTATTAATGAATAGTTATTTCACAAACATGTTAGAAATTCTATCATAACATATACAAACAACCTATACGAACAGTGGCGAATCTAGAACAAAAAATTGCGTGGTTCCTCGTACATAATTCGATAGATCCTTTATATTTTTCAATAGGATAAGATAGGTCCTAATATAAGTTTCTATATAATTTCTATAAGATATTAGAACTTTGGTAGGTCCTAGCTAGGACCCACCTGGAATACATTTAGCTACGCCCATTTGTACGAATAGATGGTAATTTAAGCACTAGAATACATTTAGCTACGCCCATTTGTACGAATAGATGGTAATTTAAGCACCAAAAAACCTATCGTCTTTTGTATTTATTATCTATAATCATTAGTTACTAATTAAGAATTCAGATACAATATGTCGACAAAAGAAAATACAAACATTGAAAGTCGTTGTCCAAAATAAATGTAAATGCAAGTGTATAGTACTTCATTTAATTTTCTTTCAGTGAAATGTAATGAGGTTTAAGTTGTGGCTAATGTCTTAAATATACTTTCGGTGCAAGAAATATTATATTAAATAAATGATAGTTACTTGATTTTTTATTTTGTGAAAATTGCAATAAAGTCACTACATATTGACCTCATAATCGATTAAGTCCAACTTTCATAAATTACATTTTTGGCCCAAATTTCAAAATTTATTACAAATTTGGTCAAAAATTTACACTTTTGATCCAGATATTAAATTTTGTTACAAATTTGGTACAAACTTTACCATTTTTGCCCAAATTTTAGAATTTTATTATGAATTCATCCTAACTTTAGTTTTTTTTACAACTTTTTTTTCTCAAAAAATTGTTTTTTAATATGTTTTTTCTTTATAAAATCATATTTATACAAAAAAAAAACATATTTTCACATAAAAAATCCTATATTTTTTAAATAAAAACTCTTTTTTAAAAACTTTTTTGTATTTGAAAATATAAGATTTTTATAACTAGATATTTCATATACATAAACTTCTTAAAAAACGTTTTTATATATAAAATATAAGATTTTTATGTGAAAACACGTTTTTTTGTATAAATATGATTTTATAAAGAAAAAACATATTAGAAACAATTCTTTTAGAAAAAAAAGTTGTAAAAAAATAAAGTTGGGATGAACTCATAATAAAATTCTAAAATTTGGGTAAAAATGGTAAAAGTTTGGACCAAATTTGTAAAACATTTTGAAATCTGGGCCAAAAATGTAATTTTTGGAAGTTGGATGACCTGTTGACCGGGTCAAAGGGTTAAATTGAATAGGATTACCGATATTTTGGACTTAATTGAATAAAAAAAAATATAGGGACTAAATCGATTATGAGCCTAATATATAAGAAATTTATTGCAGTTTTCCACGCAACTAATGTGTTAAGTATCCTAAGAATAATGATGTCACGTTGTATCTCTTATAATGAGTACTAGTCAAGAGGGACCAAGCCAACTTGATAAAGCCGTAGCAGCAACGGCCAATGGGAAAGCATATTATCCACAAAAAAGCACGACAACAAAAAAAATATCACAGTTAGATGCCAAATTGAACGGACATAATTCATTAGAATGGACGACTTGCTTCACAAGATTCAAAAAGAACAGAAAACAAGTTATAGTCATTTGGTGTGAATAAGAAGAAAACTACGATGAATGACGACAACAACACTTGACTTATGATTGTCAACTAAATCTTGTTATTTCAGGCAAAGATGAGAACCACGGTACAATATATATGTTTCAAATTGTATCAATCACACTCTTATCCATTATAAACTAACGAGAGTGGATATGAAATAAGTTGTGATTGATCGCAACCCAAAGTTATGACGTTAGAAAAAGTTATCCCACATATATATATATATATATATATATATATATATATATATATATATAT